TAGCATCCGTTCTTATTAATTAAAAAGGGACATGCATCAAAAAGCTTGACATCTGCGAAGATTACTTGGACCCCTTCTTCTCCATCAAAGGAGGAGAAACTCTGACCAGCTCGTATTAATAATTCCACTCATTATTCGAAGGTAGCTGTTTTGCTCCTGAGCGGACGAACAAGTCCTCGGAGTAGTCGGGAACTCGTCTGAACGGCTCTAAGGTCTGGCCGATATCTAGCTAGGCAGCAGCAGAAGCGGCACAGTCAGCCAGACCACCAGACAACAGGACCCAGTGAGGAGGAGAATATACCGCAAGGGAGCAGTGTAAACACGACCGGCTAATATTGCGGTCAGGGCATCTCTGCTGAATGCGGATGCAACTCTGGACCAAGACGCAATGGCGGGTCAAGACGAGGTGATAAGACGGCGTTCGACCGCTAAACCGGGTTGGAAAAATGCTTCGAAAAAGCTTGCCTGCCTCCGCCCAATGAGCGGAGGAGTACGATGGGGTTCATGTGCATGAGATGGCATCTTGGAGGCCGTCCTGTGTGATGCCTCAGTTTCTTTCTCAACGCCCTGCAACGTCCCGTTCTCGAGTGTAAACAGCTCGTTACTTGTGGTGCATGTAACTCGTCGACTTGTTGTGGAAGTGGTCGACAGCCAGCGTTTCACCCTTGCAGCATAGCATGATGCTTGCTCCACCTCCCTCTTGCTTTTTGCCAGCTATCCATCCACACACCACATGCATCCAGATCCAACTTCACTGTTGAGAGGTGTGAGTACACAGAGAGAGAGAGAGAGAGAGAGAGAGTGTGTGTGTGTGTGTGTGTGCGTGTGCCAGAACTATGCCCATGTTGCGCAGGCCTGCCCAAGCAAGAATGCCTCCTCCACACAAGAGGGAAGCGCAAACCCATGCTCCGCGACTACTCCGTACTCGACGAGTTATTGGATCGCTTAACACGAGAGCACATTTGCTGTCTGTTTGTTGGCCCAAAAGGTCGCTGCGTTTAGTGTTTCGTTTTTCCTTGTATCTGGCTTTCATCCGTCCCTAGGCCAAAGCCTAAAACGGAGGAATACTTAGCGGCCTTCGCCTGTGGCCAGCAAACCACAGCACCCTGACTGCCCACTCGCGTCCTCCAAGGGTTGAATTCGTGAGTCAGTGAGCACCACTCCATACAACTTGCAAGGTAACTAGCTAGCTAGCTTGTCTGCCTGGTCGAATGCGGGTCAAGTGCCATCCTGCCCGTTTGGCGCTGGTCTCGCATGCGTCCACTTGTCAGCCCACCCCGTCCAGGGGCCTGCCTTGAGCACTCACCGGCATTCTACCGGCTCGTTCTCTGGCAGGCTGCACCCACTCGCTGCCTGCTGCCTGCTCGCCGTCGACGCGAGGTTGAAGCGACGTTGAAGCGATATTGAAGCGACGTTGAGATTGACGTTTGCGAAGCGGGCGTCGAAGCAGCCGAAAAAGGCTTGCTCACGTGCCAAGAGTTGCTTGTTTTGGCGATGGATCTCTCCACACGAGCTTGTCTCCCGCTTCTTGATATAAAGAGGGACGGACGGCGCGGCGGGCGAGGTGCAGCGGAGAGGCGAGAGGCTCTGGGAGATCGATCGTCCGCCAGGGAGCTTGTCGGTGTGGATGGGCGCTGGGATGGCTCGGCTGTGTGTCACCGTGGCGTGAGACGAGGACGGCAGGTGTGGGAGCAGCCAAAGCCAGCGGAGCTCGAGGCGGCCATGCTCTCAGATTGGCCATGCACGGTGCCAGTGGGAAGGGTTTTCTCGGTAAGATAAGGCGTGCGAGTGGCAAGGCGTAAGCATCTTTAGCGAGCCACCAGGCAGGCTAACCAGGCGCCAACCAGGCTACCAAGGACTGAGAACTGCAGGTGCCAGACAACTACGCACCTCTCTCACCAGCCTGGACTCCGGCCGATTCACTCAATGCCGTCACAGCTTGGATTTTCAACGCCTAACTAGTTATCTAGCTTCATCTTCAAGCCACACTTTTGGGCCAGGCTGCTGGTTTCAACACAGCTTTCTTTGTCCCGCCTAGGCTAGGAATATCAAGAAAACTGCGGATACTCCGTCCTGCGTCTTGCATCCACATACTTATCACGGAGTACTTGGAATAACAATCCCACACCGCACCGTAACTTAGTATGCTTATTCCCCGGCCAACTACGGAGTACTTGTCCAGCATGCTGGCGGAGAATTGCAAACATCGGACGCAAATTCAGGGCAGCCTGGGCCAACTTTCCTTTCTCCATCTCAGAGACCCAATCATATCAGATATCAAGGCACATAACTTGATTTCATATGCGAGTGCCCAATATCAGTGTTCATATATATATCGCTATATTGATTGAAAGACCCATACGGAAGATTCCCCCAGCATGGTAATTTAGCCTAATTATCCCTGCAATGCGATCATCTCACCCACAATTCCTCGGAGACCTGGCGATAATGCTTCACACCATTGTTGACTCCAGCGGGCCAACCCCTTTCGTCGCCTCCTCTCTTAAGCTCAGTCACATATAATATATTTTTCTGGGAAATATTCCTTGCAGAGATGGATGGAGAGTGGTTTACTCTCTTGTCTCCACCAGAAACGGCCTTGGATGAGGATATTAGGGCTCATTTCCTGATGGTCCTCAATTGGAAGCAAATCTGTAAATAGTCGCCGTATGTCAGTCCGTTGTCAGCATCGCACAGTATGTATACTTGGCTGCAAGAACCCTAGTCATCAATTTTGCCAATTTTCCCACGGCCGGATGCGGTGCGTTCTATCATGGATTCGCAGGTCAAACACCCAAAATGCCTCAGTCTTGCAATGATTTTCCACTCCCATGACATGCTTACAACTTGCCAACTTGCCACTTCTTGACCAAAAATACTATGGAGTAAGGCTTCATGGATAAGATATGTGCCATGTTAAGCCCGAGGGTTGAACATCGTCTATCACCTCCTCCCCCCAAGCCAGCCAGAGCCACCCGGGACACCTCAGCATTACCCATGTTGACACCACCATGCAGCTCCCCGGGATGCAAACAGCGAATAGCACATCTCTGCTGTCTATGATACGGTTACCCAGCCGCTCGCCCATTGAACCAGGCAACGAGCCGTTCATGGCGAGTCATTTAACATAAACCTCTGACTACGCTATCGGAACATGAAGATACGTCCAACTGAAAATACCCTTTCAGGCACTAAGCGTGGCCCCCTCTCGTTTATGATTCCTCTGCGCTAGCTTCTTTTGCCTAGGTTAGCAGGAGCACTGCGCTTTGTTACACAACCGCCAATCTTTATTCCCGTCTGGCCGCATACCCCTGGGCCGGTTTCCTGAGTAACTCCGATAAGTCTTGGGATATATTTGAAACTCCCACCGCCACTGTTCTTCTATGCTCGTGAAGGGAGCATCCATTTCTTGGCTGCTAGGTCATCTCGTTTGCCTAGGTAGTACATGATTACTTGTGGCCCTTTCTACCTTGAATGTGTTTGAGGGACTGAGTATTATCTTGGGATATAAAAAATATGCCGATACCCGTCGCAGCACAAAAGTGGCCGCATGACAAGACATATATATATTATGTACAGTGTTTCGCTCCACCTATGTACTCAACTGAGTGTACCTTACACAGTCTCCTGTTCTTCACTTCTATCGTCACCCTTTCCCGAATTTCCGGGCAGGCCACAGGTACAACTAAATGGAGAATTCAATATGCAGTTGCTCCGTCTAACTGAAGTTCATACTTTCTTGCATATAACATGAGACCGTTTGGGTTCACAACGGCTGTCGATGCCGCGAATGTGCATCGCGCCATCATCTCTCAGCAAATAGATGAGCTTGAAACATGCGACTGAAGCTTCATGATTTTCCTCATTTTAATATATAATGCGCGATCCAGAATAGTGAATACTCGATGCAATAGCTAAATGAGTTTAGCTCTGTTTACTGTTTGTGTGTCACCCGGGCTCACGGTTCCCATGTCTCCAGGTGAATATGCCCAGCCTTCCTTAACTGGATAGAGCGTTTATCAGCATAGATGG